AGCTGATTTTACAACCCAGAGAAAATATGCTTGTGCAAGTGACTGAAACTGAGTAACTTGGTATACCACAGCCGTTAGAACGTATGCTGCCTATCATGTGAATTTCTGAGATCTCGTGATATCAACCTTAATCTTCGATACAGTCTTAACCAAACCATTCGAATACACTTTATTTAATCTCACCATTGCTGAAAAACAGTTTTAACATTGTATTAGATTCAATCTCGACTGCTGAGCTTAAAAGATCATCAGATTGTCGTTCTGTCCCATTTTACAAACACTTTTGGTTTGTAATTGCTGAAACTGATGACAGCAATAATGTCAATCTCAAATTCATGCTCACAGAATTTAATGAACATCATTTTGATAAAGGACCGGTAGCAGATGAACTAAACAATCTTACAAAGAAACAATAATAAGAATATGCGATAGACAATGGAACTATCGATGTATTTGAGCCGACAGTTGAATTTGAGACTAAGGATTAACATAAGACATGAAAATTCTTTCGGTTATTCATAAATGCTGAATCTGTTTCAAAAATTTATCTGAAAAATGATAGTTATTGAAATTACTCTTAATTACTGTTGAAAGGAGCCAACGACACAAAGGGTTCAAATTTATTACAAGGATTCAGTTCGCAAATACGGCAAGACTATTCTATGATCTACAGAAGTAAATACCTGTTCAAAACGAGCGTTGTTAAAGCCTCCCCGTCCAAGTCTTCGGAAATGATGAGCAACGGCTTCCTCTGCTGATTGGCCAGTTCCAGACAGGGCACGATCTCCTGAACACTACTTATTTTCTTTTCACAGAACAAAACAAGAGCATTTTGGAATTCGCACTTTGCACCTAAATGTTAACAAGGACTTAATTATTTAAAATCTTTGATACGGCATAAAAACATCACAATATTTTCAGATAGTGGTGCATATTGGAATCACAGATTCATAAAAATAGCTTTCTTTCATCAAATGAGTTTACTATATTATGATATGGCAAAAACTTCATAGCAGCTCCTTCAATGACGTTGAACAACGCATTTCTGTCACTGGATGCATCGACGACATATTCAAATCAGCGTGAGCTTAATGAATATCGGCGGAGTGTATATAGGAAGCAGCCCGATGCGGGAGTCATCGGCCGCCTACCAAACATTAATTACCCTCCAGTGCCGTGATTGGAAAAAGGCTTGAGAGTTTTGAACTCATTTCCTGATGACGCTTGATTCGAAACTCAACAGAACAAAGTGTTTGGAAATTTGGTGAAGTGGAAGGACAATCGCCTTAGTAGCGTTCAAGATCAGCAAGCAAACCTGTACAGCAATCAAGACAACAAATGCTCTCTTCTAAAGCTGCCTGAAATGCTAGTGCTTCACTATTAATCTTTGAAGTGAAATACTTATTGGCTTGGAAAACTTTAATCCACAACGGAGAATGAACATTAATCACTCATGATTCCTTCGATGAAAAATAGGCAGCGAAAAGTTGCATACAATACTACATTAGTAGAACCATCAAACATCAAAAAACAACTCACGAACTATATTTAGTCTGTTCCGTTGCACCGGAATTGCTTTCAGCGCGGGCGGATGCACTTAAACTTTTAATACTGCGGAAAGAGACAACACTCAAATTACAGCATGAAACTTTTAATAGTTTTCAACCGCTGCATTCGAAAAGACACGTGGTGGAAGGCAAAGAAGCAAGTGGTAAAATAAGGTGGATCGAGAGAATTACCGTAAAAAGTTCATTCTAAGAGTAGAATATCATCACCCTTAACTTGAACAGTGACTGGCAGCTGTGGTTGTGGTCCTTTTACGCGTTTCCCCGCCCAAGAAGGTGTTATTTGCCCTTTACTCTTTCCAAATTCGAAGTCTTACCTTTAGTAGTATTAATAAAATAAGGAGAAATATATCCTCGGTCGAATTTCATGCCCTCAATCAGTTCTAACTCGTCGTGCAACGTTTTGCCATCCTAAACAGAAAAAAGCAAATGCTTCGAAAAACATACAAATATCTAAAGCATACCTTCACAGTTATAACACCCTCCTTGCCGACTTTCTTCATTGCCTCGGAGATAAGGCTACCGATAGCTTTATCGCCATTGGCAGATATCGTGGCTACCTGAATGCGAAGCATAACTTTAGAAAACATAAATGACAATTTCAAAATTATGTAACTTGAAAATCTAAGTATTCAACGAAGCACAATCCTGCTAAAACAAAACACTAAGCAAAAGCATTATTTTAAAATAAGCTGTAGATTGGGAGACATCAAACTGGGTCCCAAGAGTAAGTGAACCAGAGAAAGGAATCAGGATTATTGGCAAAATAAACTAAAGAAATTCGATAAATCAGATGGATGAAACTGACAGAAAGAAGGAAAAGTCTATGGCGCAGTTTTAGAGTGGCTTTCATCCAGCAGCGGATCAATGAAGACTGATGATACGATTTCTGTGCTATTGGAGGCATCAGGAACTACTAAAAGATTTGGATAGCATTAAATGAAACTTAACAGAAAAGCAACTGATGATGATAGGATATAAGACCTATAAACATGCAAATTTTGTTAGTCTGTTGTTAGATACTCTATGCATAAGAGATATCGGCGATCTCATAATGGATATTAAAAGTTACAGCAATACAGCATTTGCCAAACGAATGTATCCAGACTACACAGACATTCATCAATAGCAAGGTCAAAGCACAGGCTTATTTGCGGGTGTAGACTGAAGTAAGCACAATCACTGATGCATTGGTCAAAAGCATACTCGCAAAGGTTAAGCTGGAGCAAGATATCTGTGAAAAAAGGCGACATCCAGGTCTCCATGAAGATAAAAAATGACAGTTGGTCCACCTAAGTTGCCTACTAGCTTCTAGTAAGTAAAAAATGAGGCCTCAACTGCGGCCTTTACACCGTAGGCATAGTCCAGTCACAGATATGAGATATTATAGTAATTCGGAATTAGAACTGAAAGACAACTGGTGATATTCAAGAACTTTCTCAAGAGAGAGGGACATCGAGCTACAGATCAGCCTAGCATGCAGGCGGATCTAACCATAAGGCAAATCATCAGTCAAAACGAACATGATTTGAATATAACAAAACTGAATCAGTGCTTCTAACTGCTGAAACTAGGCAACCGCTTCAAATTTGATGGAGTAGTTATCTTTTTAATCTGAAATGATACAATTGTGTAGAGTATTTTTCCAGGCGTACAAGACGAACAATTGCAGCAGGATAAATACACTCATTTTTTAGCATCCTTCATGTACCACGAAGGCCCATTAAGCCTTGTGGCAAAACAATGCATAAATCATGTGAAAGGTACGTACAGAGAGAATCATACTTGGGCAATTTCTTCCGGCGTTGTGACGTTTTTGGATATCTTCTTCAGGTGAGCGAGAACTTTATCAACCGCCATCATGACACCTCTCCTAATCTCAAGGGGATTTGCTCCTTTACTAATGCTATCGAAGCCTTCACGGGCAATAGATCTGGCGAGTACAGTCGCAGCAGTAGTGCCATCGCCAGCTTCCTCGTTCGTTCTGTTGGCAACATCCTAGAAACATAGGAAAAACGTCAACCACAATTAAATTCCATCTAAAGGACAATTTACACAAAATCACCTGAACCAATCTGGCACCAGCATTGTTGTATTTGTCTTTGAGCTCGATGGCCTTCGCAACCGTGACACCATCTTTGGTAATTTTCGGACTACCCCAACTTTGTTCGATAATTACATTTCTTCCCTAAAATCAAGATATAAAATTGAAGAAAAGGCATTTAGTTTCATGATTATCACGAATTAAAGTTTACTTTTAATCACAGGAATTTTAACAACATTTAATAAAAACAAAATTTAGCTGTTTAAGCAAAGAATATTAAAAAAAAACTTCGTTTAATAAATATAAAATGGTACAAGAGCACTGAACGAGCAGCTGTAGACTTTGGTTGTCTTCTACCGAAGCTCCAATGCTGGCACAGGATCGGAAACTTGGAAGCAGTATCTGCCTCGAGCACCCGAAAAAGTTAAGCGGTCATGCAACGTGAGGTGAATATTTTGTTTTGTTAAATAAATATTTTTTGAATTATTAACCGAACTGAATTTGAAGCAAACATTAACTGACTGATATATCTGAGCGGCACTTTATATAAAAATGCTGATGACATTCTTTGTCAACACAAAAGGTAAAAAACCGACTTAATCACGTAGAGCAACGGAAAGAAATGATCACGAAAACAATAGAACATTCCTTTTAGAAATTACAACTTTAAACAAAAATTAGT